TGAATCCGGCGAGGAAAAGGGGGGTATACTTTCTTGAACGTGTTCTGGCGTGTCTGGCATATTTGGACAGCCGGTTTTCTGGCAAATAACGCAGTTTTACAGCCAGTGAAGTCGATACATTCAGAACTTCAGCAGCATCTTCCGCACCACCGCTTCTCCCACGGTTCTTCTAAATTAGGCTAGATATCAAAGGCATACCACTGCAATCCCACATCAAAATAAACTGAGAAGCAAATAACATAATTTCAATAAATGGCCAGCGCATCGACTGCCGGTGCGAAGATGCGTTTTTTGCATAGTTCCCCGCAGGTTTTTGTTGCTAGTAACACCGGTTTCTCATGCAGATGCTTCTAGCTAAACGAATTAAGGCTGTCAGGAAACATCCTCCTAAAATTCCATTCTTCTAGCTTCTCAGGTTTCTTATTTAGCAACTTACCAGGAAAAAATTTTCACGGGCTCGTACGTGTTAATCACGCATACCCAGGTACTGGGTTTGAGCTCATTAATACCTACTTGGATGGAGAACATCTCCTTAAAATTTCAGCTTTCTGGGTTTTCTGGTTCCTGAGTTAGCAGCTTCCCTGGCAAAAACTTTGGCGGGCCCGCATTTGAGTACCACGCAGGTAAGAGCGCCTATTTTGGGGATTGGGGCCCGTACGCGCATATAGATTAAGTTTCCGAAGTTCCAGCCCTGTAGCTTTTATAGGTCTTGAGATGAAAAATCGGTATAGACGCACACACAAAAACACATACACAGAAAACCCCTCGTCAATATGCGTTTTCCGCGTTGCATAGATGCAAAAAACGCATAAAAAGAGACCCATTATGGAGCTGCCTTGGGTTTCCAGCATAACATGAACTTTTCACGCTGTGGATTAGTGGCCTAGTTGCTGTTTTTTTTTCTTTTTCTAAAGAATTTGCGCATGCTGCTATCGCTGCTTCATGCCAGAGAGCTAATATTTTGCTTTGTTTTTCAGTTAGTGGCCAGATTCCTCCGCGTTTTTAATGGCACTACCAAAAAAGTCACACCACCACCACCACCACCACCACCTAGACAGAACACCATTATTGCTACTACTACTACTATTATTATTATTA